AGAGTTTGGAGAAGTGAAGGATAGTGAAGACACAGGGAAGGAATTCTTACCCCAAGGCAGTGGCCCTGCTAACTCCAGGTGTTGCTTCTCTTGTTTGCAATTGCAATCCCTCTGCCTCCACCCATGCCCCCCAGAAGAAGCACAATACTATGCATCGATTTTTAAAACCCAAGTGAATGAAAAAACTAGCAGTACTTCAATATTACTGCTACAGTGGAACTTCCACCTCTAGGGAGTGGTTGTTATATGTGCTTGCTCTGGGTTAGAAGAAAACCAAACCAAACCCATTGCCATCGAGTCGATTCCCACTCATAGCGGCCCTGTAGGACAGAGTAGAACTGCCTCATAGGCTTTCCAAGGAGCGGCTGGTGGATTCGAACTGCGTAGCTTTTCGTTAGCAGCCAAGCTATTAACTACTGCGCCACCAAGGCTTCCCCTGGGTTAGGGTAATTTGTTGCATCAATTATTTTGTAGTATGGTGATAAGAATGAACAGGCTCCAAGCGCACACTGCTCACTCAGTAATCAGCCGTTTGTAGTTTGCTGAAGGCAAACCCACGCAAGTTAACGGAAGCATCACTAATCTGGAACAAGCAGAATCATGTTTCACCTGAGCTGATGCTGGGTGCAGGGCACGGCCTCCCCTGGGAAGTGCGCCCACGCTCACGGGTGTTTACCTACGCCCACTTCCTGATCTCAGAAGTACAGAGGACAATTAAAGGATGCCCCAAGGAATCCATCAAACAAACCCCGAACATGGAACGTTCTACGTGACAACAAGATCTCTTAAAAAAATTAATATCATGCAACCGAAAAGGGAGAAGGTCCTTTTCTAGCCTACAAGAAACTCAGACAAGTGTAATATGGAGCCTTAATTTGATTCTAGTTATTTAAAAAATCACCTGTAAAGATATTTTAATAATTGGCTTTTCTATGCTATTAGGAATTTATTGTAAATTTTATCAAACCATTCTTACAAAAATGGTATTGTGCTTATTTTCTGTAGAAAGAGACCAAAGCCTTTGGTACACGATGGCTGTAATTTAGTTTGAAATGGGTCAGCCATTCATGTGTGCGCGTGCGTAGTTATGTGTGTACATCTGTACACTAATGGTAAATACGGCAAAATTTCAAAAACTGTTTCATCTAAGTGGCGTGAGAGTCTTCATTGCAATCTACCTTCTACTTTCCTGTATTTTAAATTTTTTCATAATATAAAGTTAAAGATAAAATAAATGATCATTTGCTTTATTTTTTGAATGACCCCCAAATTACCCTGGAGATAATTGGAGGCAAATTAAGTTTTTACCAAACGAGGATCAGTAGTCAGGGTTGGACATCCTTAAGGATCCTCCAATCTGTTACTTTCTCTTCAGGCTGCAAAACCACACTCCTCCCTGTAAGGACCACTGCAGTTTTTTCTATAGATGGGGCTACAGGGTGATGTCTGTTGGGGAGTGGCTGCAGGGGCAGAAGAGGGCACTGTGGATGTTGCTGACTGGCAGAGTGGAGACAGCCTGAAGTTCCCGCCAGCCCAGCACTGCCCCACCCAAAGGTGCTCTCCTGAGGGCGGTAAACCCAGCCGTCCACATCATGTCCTTAGAAGGAGTCTCCTGGGCTTGCCAGGACTAGATAGCCACCTCTGACCCAGGAACATGTCCCCAAGAAGACGGACGATGGCAGGTCCTGGTGGGGGGAGAGCAGGGGAAAGAGGCAGCGGGGGTGCTCACAGAGTCCCCTCATTTTCAGTGAAGGGAGCTCCTAGCCTCAGGCAACAGGAGTGTGCAGGGCGTCTGCTTGACATGAGCAGAAGACAAGCTCTCGAGGGTAGAGACAGTGGAGAGAATAGAAGGGAGGCAGCCTCGCCAAGGACAGGGCATCTGGGGCTGGAACACATGGGACTCCATGAGCCAGACAGATGGAATGAAGACCCTGAGCAAGAGTGAGGAAATGAGGACCCCCAAGCTGGGCTGATGAAATGGGGACCCTGAGATGGGCTGACAAAATGGGGACCCTGAGCTGGGTTGATGAAATGGGGACCCTGAGCTATGCTGATGAAATGGGGGCTCTGAGCCAGGCTGACGGAGGGGGCCCTGAGGCAGGCTGACGGAGCTAAGCCTGGAGGTCCAGACCAAGTCTGAGCAGATGTGGCTACGTGTAGAACTAGGGTCTGCTGGGCATCTGGGTGATCTCAGCCCAGTGTGGGTGACCTGGGACAGAGGTAGGAAGCACCATCTCTCCAGGTGCTAGAAGCTGCCAGAGGCTCTGCCTGGCTGGGGCAGGCCTGGGACCCAGGAAGGAAAAGCCGGGTCCCCAGAAGGAGATCGTCAAGGATCCCACAAGTGGCCCACTGGGGGCCTTGAATCTGCACCCTCGCCTGGCCCATACCCCAGGGAGGGTTACCGGGCACCCCCAGCCCTGTGGGGCTGTGAGGTGCTCTGGCCACATTCCTGCAACTTGTGGGGACCCTTGGAAGGGCCGAATGCATCTCTGAGCTCAGGGTGCAGAGGGAGGTGGGTCATGCCCACTGTGGAGTCACTCTGAGGACTACTCCTACCCACTGGGGCTTCTCAGACTCTCTGACACCCTCTCTGACTACAGTTTCTTCCCAAGTGCCCCATGGAGCTGACATCTGGTGTGCGCCTATGAGAGGAGACATGGCTGCATTGGGGGCCGTCGGTGTTGGTGGCCTGAGGCCTGTGGAAGAAGCCCAGAAGCCTGCATCTGTGCCAGCAGCAATGGGCAGGGGTGACCGTGACTGGGCGTTGGCAATGCTCTGTGGTGGGCAGTGAGAATCCTGGGTGAGCCCGGCCTCAACACCCCTTTTGCATGGAGTGAGGGCAAGGATGGTCTCCTCTGAGATGTCCGAAGGCAACATTTTGATGCTGCCACCCAGGAGGTACATTATTAGCACCCCAAAAGCCCTCCATCTCCCATGGGCGAATTCTTCCCAATGCAAGGTGCAGAGCCATCTCGCAGGTCCCTGGGGCCCTATTCTTGGGGATTGTTTTCTTTAGTCGTCTTGAAGTCAGAAGAATTTAAATGACATTCGTTTCTGGGCATCAGCCCTTCTCTCTTGGGTGGGGAAGCAGGGAGAACAAGCATTTGCCTCCATCCACAAAGCAGGCCCTCCTCTTCCAGCATGAGGCCCGTCGCTGTCTCCCAGGGCCTCTGCAGCCTTCTAGAGTCCCTGAGGTGCAGTGGGACCCTACCTGGCCCTCCTCCACCCACTGGGGGAGGAATTCCCTGGACTGTTCCCTCTGCTCAGCTTCTAATTAGAACTATGTGGATGCTGTGTGCAGGGCAGTCTGGGACCCCCCATAGGGCTGGGTTTGCAGTCACAGAAAATTCCAGTAAGAAGGAGCGGGCAGGGGCTGGCTACTGCAAAGGGAGGCAGTAAGGTATAAAGGCTTCACTAAGGTGAGCCGTGAGGTCAGACGTGGAGGCTTCCAGCTGGATCTGCGGCTCTGGACTGACCAGTGGGTCCCTGAGGGTCCACACAGTTTCATAACCATGTACGCTCTGGGGGCTGTGGCTGGAAGCACCTGTGCACGTCTTCCTGGTACCACCGAGCCACGTGGAGATGAAGCCCAGGTGGCCACTGTCGCTCCGCCTGTCTGGACCAGGCATTTATAAAGTATGCATCCCAGACGCTCCAAATCTCACCTTCTTGGTAGCCCAGGAGGGTGGAGGTGTGGTCACCCAGGAACAGCCCTGTCAGCTCTTCTTTAGGACTCTTTTATATCACAAAGCCGGTGTTCTTCCAAGTTAGAAAAATCAGTGACTTCTACTAAATCACGTGGCTGGAGAGCACGTGTCACTCAAAAAGAGATGATTAAAAGCCACAAGCCCTTCCGCCACAAATGTACCGAGCAGCGAGTGAGCCCTAAGCCAGCAGCGAGCGAGCCCTAAGCCAGCAGCTCACTGACCAACGCAACCTCAGGTTGACTTCGGACACGCACTTTGAGTTCCCTTCCATGGCCCCAGGCCTCAGGCCCAGCCATAGCCTACATCCTTGGGCTCCCAGGCCAGGGCGTTCGGAGGCCTCTGGAGGTGGCCTTTGGGGGCTGGGCTGCACACTGGTCCAGCAGAGGGGTCTGTGGTCACCCGCCCCGGCCCGGCAGCTCCCACTCTGTAGGATGGACGCCATCACCCTCGGAGGGTTCAGTGGGACCAGGTCGAGATGGACGCAGGGAGGGCTGGCTGGTACTTTTCCCAGCGCCTTCTCACACTCAGAGAAGGGAGCTCCACCTTGAGGAGGACTGTCTGCTCTGCCCTGCCCCCAGTCAGTTTCATCCTTGGGGAGACTCCCAGCACAGGGACAGGACGCCTGAGTCTTGGACGGTAGGTGCCTCTCTGGAGCTGGTCAGACGAGGCAGAGCCTGAGCCTCTCACTCCAACCACCAGGACCCCAGGAGTGTGTGTGGCCGTTGGCCATCCCCACCCTCCGGCCAGGCCCCTGCACCATCTGCGCCCCCACTCTCTCCCACAGGGGGTCAAGGAGAAGCTGGCGGCGGTGCCCTGTGCAGCGTGTGCCTGTCCTGCCCACGGCCGCCTGCTGGGTGGCCTTCACCAGCCCCTGCCCCCCAGATGTCTCCTCTACTGCTGTGAATGGGGTGGGAGCCCAGTGGGGAGTGCCCACTTGGGACCTGGGTGTGACTCTGTTGTTTATACCCAGGGGTACTGGAGCACCCCAGCCTGCCCTCCCCCACCCTGCCTTGGGCCTGCCCCCCTTGCCCCATGGACTCTGGGGTCTGCCCTCCCCCGCCCTGCTGTGGGCCTGCCCCGCTTGCCCAGTGGACCCTGGGGTCTACCGTCCCTTACCCTGCTGTGGACATGTCTCCTCTCCATGGACCCCCGGTCTGCCCTCCAGTGGGCCTGCCCCCCAAGGCCCATGGACCCCGGGTCTGCCTTCCAGTGGGCCTGCCCCCCTTGCCCTGTGGATCCTGGGGTCTGCCCTCCGGTGGGCCTGCCCCCCTCGCCCCGTGGCCCCGGCCCTACCTCCTCCGTGGCTCTGGCAGAGGTAGGGGAAGCGCCACACATTGCCGAGCCCCACGCAGAAGCCCACGCAGGTGAGCATGTACTGCGCCTTATTGTCCCACTTGGGCCGGGAAGAGGCATCCTGCGCCTCGATGGTCTCCAGCTCAGCCAGGGACGGGATGCGGTCCTCCAGGCCGGGGTTGGGCAGCACGAGCCTCACCATGGTGGTCTCTGGCTGGCTCACAGTGCAGGCAGGGCAGCAATGAGCAGGGGCAAATGTCTGCTGCCCGGCTCCCTGGTCCTTTATAGACAACCTTTGGCACCTCACCCCAGCACCTGGGCCGAAAGAAAGCGTCAGCAGATCTGCAGGGGCAAGTCTGCAGGACTGTTTATGCCTTATCTGCAAGGTGCCCACGCCCACCCACGGGGCCAAGGAGCCACCAGCTGTCATGAAAGGCCACTAGCAGGAAGGGCAGCCCCTCCCTGTCTGGATGCACTCACAGGTGTGCAGCCCCCCATCCCCCCACCATTTAGGCCACAGGGAGGCCGCTCCAGTCGCAGGAGAGAGATCAAGGCAAACAGACCATATCTGCTGGCCCTCTGGCAAGCCAGTTTGCAGTCTGCATGGCTGCTGGGCTCAGCGGGACGCTGGCTCCTCCACCCGCCCCCAGCCCCTTGGAGCCTCCCCTGCAGTCCCGGCCACACCTCCACCTGCCCAGAGAGAGAGGCTGCCCTGGAGGGCTGGGTGGGGAGACTCCCTACTCCTGTCCCCAGACCAAGGGAAGGATTGGAGCCCTGACCCCTGTGAGCAGCCCTGCTGTTCACAGGGAACCGGCTTGGCCTAGCCCCTTCCGGCCTGAGTGCTGGGCTCTGAAGAGCTCCTCAGACAGCCCTGGTTCCCGCCAGTGTCCAGGGACACCCAGGGCCACTTCAGATCCCACCTGAAAGCACCCCAAGTGGGACCTCAGGCTGGGCCTACAGCACCTTAGTTCATCATGGGAACCCAGATGGCCAGCCCAGACTGTTCCCATTGGCTTTTCCGGGAGCACTAGACACTGTCCGAGGACTCATTGGGACCTGCTGCCTCTCAGGGTGACCCTGGGTGACGGAGCACCCTGATGGGGCTGCCCCTAGCTGGGCACTGGGACACACAATAGGAGACTGGGGTCCTGACCCCACTGAGTGGAGAGGACAGCCAGGGAGACACACTGGAAGCCAGCTGTACAGTCAGAGAGCAGTGCGTCCTCTCTGGGGGTGACCACGGGGCCGGGGAGAGGTCGACAGAGACAGTGGGCCCATCCCCAGACCAGAAGCAGAGAGGGCTTTCATGCACTGAGCTTTTGGTGCAGTGGTTGGGATGGGGGTCCCCCCTATCTGGCCTCTGTGCCATCTGTCCCAGCTGCCCCCACGCCTTCCACATGATCAGCTGGCCACCCAGCAGGACTGTGCACCCCCATTCCCAAGAAGTCTCCCCTCCAGGAGCTCTCTCCCTAGGGCCGCCATCCAGCCATCAGGGGTCAGCTCTTGTGAGCGACCCCCAGCCCCCTCCTGCACTGGGTCCCTTCCAAGCCCTTGGCCCCCCTAGAATAGATCAGCTTTGTGATGTCTGTGGCTTATCTGTCTCATTAGCGGTCTGCAGCAGTGGGGATGGAGGATACTGGCCACAGGCTGGACTGTCAGCCCCCGGGGGCCCAGCGCTGTCCAGCCAGAGGTCAGGGTTGGTTCACACTGATGTTCATTTGAATAATCGAGGTGAAGGGGGGAAATCAGGGATAAGGAGGTTAAGGAGCCTGACCTTTGCCCCAGGACTGTGGGGAGCTGGGAAAGGGTAGAGGCAGAAAGGAAGCGTGGTGGGCTTTGCATTAAGGAACATCTATCCGGCTCTGGGTCGGATTGGAGGGAAGATGAGGCAAGGACAGGAGACCCAAGAGAGACGAGGCTAGCCGTGGGGGTGGGGGAGCGGGGGTACTGAGGGGAGAGACAGGGAAGTTTGGAGAAGGGCAGGCCGAGCCCATGTGTTTCAGAACAGAACCAAGTTCCATAAGGTTTTCAACGGCTGATTTTTCAGAAGTAGATACCAGGCCTTTCTTCTGAGGCATCTCTGGGTAGATTCAAACCTCCAGTCTTTCAGTTAGCAGCCAAGCATGTAAACTGTTTGCACCACCCAGGAATTCCAACCCAAACCAATACCCTCACGTCAGCTAGAAAAAGGGCTCAGTGCAAAAGCTAGCAGAAATGCTGGATGAAGAAGTGATATCAGTGGGTGACAGCCCCAAGTAGGTTGAAAACTCAAGGACGCCCTGGACTTGGCTGCCAATTTACTAGCCTGCTGAGAGAGGGGGTTCGGGTGAAATGCTAGTACCATTCCTTCCTGCTACAGAACTACAGCTGAGCGTGGCTGCCAGCCAGGCACGGAGCAGAGGACAGTGAGATTGAAGCTGGGGTCCTCTATCTCCTGTCAGTTCTGGTCTCACTGCCTGGTGGCACAATGAACTAACTCTGAGATTCTGTCACTGCTTCTATGAGGCCACAGTCTCCTAGGCTGTCCGTGGTCTCCTGGGCCATCCGTGGTTTCCTGGGCCACCTGTGGTCTCTTGGATGTCCGTCATCTCCTGGGGTGTCTGTGGTCTCCTGAGTCGTCCGTGGTCTTACGGGGCTTTCGTGGTCTCATGGGGCACCCATGGTCTCATGGGGCATCTGTGGTCTCCTGGGGTGTCTGTGGTCTTCTGGGTTGTCCATGGTCTCATAAGGCAACCATGGTCTCATGGACCATCTGTGGTGTTATGGGCCATCCGTGGTCTCCTGGGCCGTCCATGCTCTTCTGGGACATCTGTGGTCTCCTGGGCCATCTGGTCACCTGGGCTTTCCATGATCTCCTGGGATGTCCATAGCATCCCTTTGCTAGCTGAAGGAGGCCACTGGGACCTTGGTGACTCTCAGATGTAGGAACAGATACAGTGCTGCACGCTGTACAGAGTAGAGAGAGACTGCCTCTGGGCACGGAGGCCAAGCATGAGACCACGGAGCTGAGCAAACACTGTCACAGCCTCAAAGTGATGGATTTGCATCCCCGCTTCCAGCTCAGAATCCTTCCTCGGCTCCAGTGTCACCCACGGAGAAGGCTGACCTCCCCTCCCTTGCTCCAGCCCACCAGCCCCTCCTAGTCCTTGAACACTGCAGGCCCACACTTGTTTTAGGGCCTTTGCTTGGCCTGGAGCCCTCTGCCCGGAGCTCTCTTTCACAGTGTCCACTTGACTGGCTCCCTCCCGCCTCCCAGCCTTTGCCCAAACTTTACCTGATCACCTGGTCTCCCACTTAACACTGCAGCCTGCTCTCCCTGCCCCCTTCTCTACTCCTTGCTCTTCACTCCATCCATCTCTCCACTTTTCTTTTCTCGTACCATTCTTTCCCTCTAACAGGCTATGCATTTTATTTAGTTGTTTATATTCTCTCTTCCCTTCTAGGCTGTAAGAACCACCAGGACATTCATCTTTGTTCCTTTGTTTACTGATAAGATCTGAGCCCTGAGAACAGTGCCTGATGCCTCATAAGCTCTCAGTCAATATTTGTGGGTGTTGAATGAGTGGAGGAGCTAGCAGACCTGTCATGCCATCCATAGATCCGGGACAATCTGTAGAGGGGCTGCCCTCACCAATGCAGCTTGCTCGGCTGGAGGTGTGGGAGCCAGGACTAGGGGCACGGGACCACGTGTCTGGGGCATCAATGGTCTCGTAGGCTGTCCACGGCATTCCGTTTGCTGGCTGAAAGAGGTCTCCGAGACCTTGGTGATGTCCTTCCTCTTCTGTCTGTCACTCAGTTTTCTGATTTTCAGATGCCCAGCACAAGGAGCCAGTGATTGAGTTTTGAGATGTGAAAACCATCTGGGCAGTGGATTGTAGGCCTCCTGGAACAGGGGGAAATGGAAAGTCACCCTCGTGGTCCTTCCTTCGCAGACAGCTATCCAGGGACCACATCTGTGATCTTCCTGGCAAATGTCAAATTCCCCTCCAAAATGCAGGAACAGTCAGGGAAATAGAAGAACTAACTTGATTAGCCATTTGTTCTTACTAGAATTGTATTTGAAAATAATGAGAAGGCGTAAGGCCAGTAAAAACGTGGTAAACCCACCATATCCCCCTGTCCCAGAGTCAAGGGCCCTGAGACTTAATGTAGCTGAGCTGTCTACAAAGTTCAGGGACAACTATGCCTCGCTGGAGGCGAGAGAGGTAACTTGCGGGCAAATTTTGAAAAGTTTCATTCGTTCATAGTGAATACGCAAAATGGAGTTGATGCTGGAAGCTATGCCACTGGTATTTCAAATCCCAGCAGGGTCATTCATGGTGGACAGGTTTCAGAGGAGCTTCCAGACTAAGAGACTAGCAAGAAAGGCCTGGTTATCTACTTCCAAAAATCAGCCAATGAAAGCCTTATGGATCACAACCAAATATTGCCTGACTCACTTGCTTTGGACATGTCTTCAGGAAGTATCATCAGTCTCTGAGGAGAACATCATGTTTGGTGAAGTAAAGGGCCATTGAGGGCAAAGGAGATCCCCAGTGAGATGAATTGGCACAACAACTGTGACAATGAATTTGAACATGTTGGTGACTGTGAAAATCATGCAGAATTGGGCAACATTTCATTCTTTTGTGCTTAAGGTCTCCATGAGTTGGAGTCGACTTGAAGGTAGCTAGCTACCTACCTACCTGCCTACTTACCTATCAACCTACCTATCTACTAATCTACCTACTTACCTAACTACCACCTACCTATCTACCTACCTACCCATCCATCCATCCATCCATCCATCCATCCGTCCATCCATCCATCCATCTGCTTATCTATCTGATATATACACTCATCAGTTGAAATTATACCGACTGCGCATTATTGTTACTTAATGAATTTTTCTTTTATTAAAAATTTTCTTTAAATATCATTTTAATGTTATCAGCAAAAGTATTCAGCATACTGGATATACCATAATTTATTATAGAAAATTTCCCTAATGCTGGCCTTTCTGTTTTTGATTTTTCCCCATTATAAATATCGCTGTGGTAAACGTATTTGAATATGCGTCTTTTTGTTATTGTTTCACAGTTTGGTGAATTTTCACAAAGTGAGCACATCCATGTAACAATAACCCAGGTCATGAGACAGAACATTCCAGAACCACAGAATCCCCTGCTCTTTCCCAAGCCCTATGCTCCCTACCCCAAAGAAACCATTATCTAGAAGTCTGAAATCCTAGCTTAGTTTTCCCTACTCTTGAACAAAGTTAAAGCATACAGTCTATACCTTTTGTTTCTAGCTTCCTTTACTCAATATTACGTTTATAAGATACACCATGGTGGTTTATGAGCATTCGTTCATATATTTCCATTACTGTGCAGTATTCCGGGGTATGGCTGTGCCACCATTTGTTCATCTGTTCTACTGTTGCAGGACAAGCATCCAATTGGTGGCCATTTAACCAGTGCTGTTACGAACATCTGTACTTGTTTCTTGGCACACATCAGTCGGTGTTTCTGCTGGATACATACATACCCAGGAGTGGAATTGCTGGATCCTAGGACTTGCCTTATATGCAAGTGAAAGCTGGACAACAAACAAGGAAGACTGAAGAATTGACACATTTGAATTGTGTTGGTGAAGAATATTGAATACCATGGACTGCTAAAAGAATGAACAAATCTGTCTTGGAAAATGTACAACCAGAATGCTCCTTAGAAGCAAGGATGCAAGACCACATCTCGCATACTTTGGACATGTTATCAGGAGGGACTAGTCCTTGGAGAAGGACATCATGCTTGGTAAAGTAGGGAGTCAACAAAAAAGAGGAAGACCCTCAAGGAGATGGAATGACACAGTGGCTGCAACAATGCGGTCAAGCATAGCAACAATTGTGAGGATGGTGCGGGACTGGGCAGTGTTTCGTTCAGTGGTACATAGGGTTGCTATGAGTCAGAACCGACTTGATGGCACCTAACAACAGCAACAACAGGGCATGCATATGTTGAACTTGAAAACATCTTTCAAGAGTAGTTGAACCAATTATTCCCCTCCTCCATCCCAAGCAAAGTATGAGAGTTCCAATTGCTCCAAACCTTTACCAACTGTAGGGTGAAAAATTAACTTTACCCAAAGAATTTGGCCTTTGTCCCCGGTTTCTGGAACGTAACCCCTAAATCCTGGGAGTTTCCTAAGTGATTGAAGTGTCTGTTATCCATGGAGGGCTCCAGGCCATACCTGATAGTTTATGCTAGGTGACCCATGGTGGTGGCTGGCCACTCCAGAAAGACCCACCATATGATCAACTCGACTTCCAGAAAAGGAGAAGGGAGTGGCTGGAGACTGAGGTCAATCACATGGCCAATGATTCAATCAATTATGCTTGCATAATGAAATCCCAATAAAAACTCTGGACACTAAAGCTCAGGTGAGCTTTCCTGATGGACAATTTATCGATGTGTTTGGAGGATGACATGTCCTGACTCCACAGGGAGAGATACAGAAGGTCTGTGTTTGGGCACTCCACCCCAGACCTCGCCCTGTGCAGCTCTTCTTTCATGACCTTTTCACCGTAATACAACTGAAATCATAAGTATAGCGCTTCCTGAGTTCTGTGAATCCTTCTAGCGAATTATCGAATACTACGGTATAGTGGGACCCCTCAAGTTTGTAACTAATTGGTCAGAAATGAAGGTGTCTTGGGGACTCCCAAGCTTGCAGCTGGTGTCCTGAGAAAGTAGTCAGACCCTCCAAATTTGTAGTCAGGTGGCCCTGGGGACCCAAAAGCTTGTGACTGGTGTTTGAGGTGAGGGAAGTCTTGTGGGTGACTCTGCCCTTAACCTGTGAAAGCCAATACAGCTCCAGGTAGTTACTGTCAGAGTTGAACTACATTGCACCAAACTTGATGTCATCTACTGTTTAAAATGTTAGCCTTTGTGGCCAGGGCATAGCGGAATCCCATCATTGTTTTAGTTTGTATTTCCCTGATGACCAAAGCTGATGAGAACCATCCATATGTTCAATAGCCATTCAGCTCTCCTCTGGTGAAATGCCTGTTTAAATGCCTTTTTCTATTGTAATGGCTGGCTTTTTTTTTTTTTTCATGAAAAAATATGGAAAGTTTTATGAATTTGTGTGTCATCCTTGCTCAGGGGCCATGCTAATCTTTTCTGTATCGTTCCAATTTTAGTCTACGTGCTACTGAAGTGAGTACATGCCCTTTCTTAATCTGTAGGGCATGTTAATAAATTCTGAAATGCAGTCAAAGGACAAACATCTCCTACTTAATAGCTTGCTTTTCCACTCTCTCTCTCTCTTTTAAATTTTATTAATTTTGTTGTTGTTGTTGAGAATATGCACCGCAGAGCACACACCAATTCAACATTGCCGACATGTACAATTCAGTGACATTGATTACATTCTTTGAGTTGTGCAAACATTCTCACCCTCCTTTCCCAAATTGTTCCCCCCAGTTAATGTAAACTCACTGCCTCCTAAGGTTCTTAGCTAATTTTTTGAGTTGCTGTTGTTGATTCAATCCCATATAGATGGTTCTTAAAAGAGCACAATGCTCAAGGCAGACATTTCTTACTAGTGAAGTTAAGCTATTGTTTGGTGTTAAGAAGACTTCAGGGGACATTTTTGGCTTAAGATTTAAAGATTCTCTCAAGGTAATAGCTTCCACTCTCTTCATGGTGCCTCTTGATGGACAGAAGCCCCTAATTTTAATGTAGTCCAGTTCATCTATTGTTTGCTTTATAGTTATTGCTTTTTGTGTCCTTTAAAAAATTTTTTTGCTTAGTCAAGGTCCTGAAGATCTCTCTTATGGTTTCTTCCAGAAGCCTTATGATTTTACCTTAGACTTAGAAATCAACAATTCACTTGGAGCTGTTTTGTATACGTAGTGTGAAGTAGCTGTCAAGATTGCTAAATTCGTTAAGTTAAAAAAGGTATTAAAAATTGTACCAGAAAGGTTATTATTGAACCCTCCTATGAAGGGGATTAGTTGCAGTGATTAAAGCCATCGACTGCTAACTGAAAGGTCGGCGGTTCAAAACCACCAGTGACAGTCTGGCTCCGTAGAGATTTACAGCCTTGGAAACCCGATGGGGTTGCTATGAGTCAGAATCGACTTGACAGCAGTGGATTTTTGGTTTTATGAATGGGACTTACATCCTTAATCAAACAATTTTGTGTTTTTGCCTGCCAGATTTTTATATGGGCCGCATGGTCAGTTTTAGATATTTTACACATTAGTGTTATAGGAAGTAGCCTTTGAAATCAGCGGCAAACGGTGATACATTAGTTAGGATAAGCTGGGTTATGCTGCAGTAACCAAACCAAAAACCAAACCCGTTGCCCTCGAGTCAATTCCGACTCATAGCAACCCTATAGGATAGAGTAGAACTGCCCCATAGGGTTTCCAAGGAGCGGCTGGTGGATTCAAGCTGCCAACCTCTTGGTTAGCAGCTGAGCTCTTAACCACTGTGCCTACAGGGCTCCTGCTGCAGTGACAGTCATCCCCAAATTTCCATGGTTCAAGATGACAGGGGTTCGTTTCTTGCTCACGTAAAGTTCCCGCAGGTTGGGGTGACCCTCCAGAGGAGCTGCACCTCCACATTCGCCTGTGTGTCCACGATGCTAAGGCTGAGGAGGGAGAGGTGGAAACTTGGGGATCACCTCCAGAGCACTTCTGCCTTACGGCAACACACGCCATTTCTGCTCCCGTTCCATGGGCCAAAGCAACTCACACGCCCACCTGTTACTTTAAGAGGCAAGGAAGTGCAATCCTGTTGTGGCCTGAAAGGAAGAGAACTAGAAACAGTGGTGAGATGACCCAATAATGACCAGGAGGGACAACAGATGGCCAAGCACAGTGAGGCCAGCGTGTTGGCCTCTACGGCCCCACTCAGGCTGTGTCCTCCTTAGGACAAAGGATGGGGCCCAGGGCTGATGAACCTTCTGGGCATCTTCACAGAGAAGACCAATACAGCAGGAAGCTGGGCTCAGCCTCTTGGCCTATACCCACACACTCTGCTGCCCTGCTACCTCTGAGCCTGTGGTTCTTTCCTGTCCTCCCAAGGGCACCGGGGGGAGCAGTGGGCAGTATGAGAGCCGAGGCTGTTGAGGGACAGGCCATCCAGTGAGGGTGGGGGCTGCCGACAGCCTCTCCTCTAGATGGGTGGCCCTCATACTCTGTCACCACCCTTGACACCCTGGTGTGACCATCTGGAGTCTCCTGCTCCCATCCTCGCCTCATACAGCCAAGGCTGCAGCTCAGAGTACAACTCTGGTTTTCTTTCTTCTTTATTGTGTGCGTATGTGTGTGTGTGTGTTTAAATAATATTTTATTGTGTTTTCAGTGAAAGTTTACACAGTCAATTAGGTCCCCGTTTGACAATTTCCACACAAGTTGTTCAGTGACGTTAGTTAAACATTTTTCACAATATGTCAACGTTCTCTTTAATTGCGTTCTGGTTGTTCTATTTCCAATACTCCAGTTTCCCTACTCCCTGATCTTCTCATCCTCACATTAGAGTAATTGTTGACCTTTTGGTCTCATAGAGATGGTTTTTTAATGGAGTAGCATACTCACAGGTAGTATCATTTATTTGGTGTGCCAATCTGTATTTCACTAAAAGGTGATCTCCAGGGATAGTTTTGGTTCAAGGTTTAAAGAGTATCTCAGCATGATAGTCTCAGGTAGTCCGCTAGTCCCAGCTGGTCCAGTAAGTCTGGACTTTTTCAGAATCTGAGTTCTGTTCTGTGCTTTCCTCCCGTTCTGTCAGGGACCATCTATTGTGGCCCTGATCAGAATGGTTGGTAGTGGTAGCTGGGCACCATCTAGTTCTTCTGGTCTCAGGGTAGATGAGGCCATGGCTCATGTAGACTATCAGCCGGTAGACTAGTTTCTTTCTTTTCCAGAAAGAGATTGCTAGACCTTTCTCCCGCTTAGCTGCTGGTGGACTCGAACCTCCGAGTTCATTAATCATTTGCACCACCCAGGGACTCCCCCACTACCCCCTGTCAATCATCCAGCCCCTCCGTTAACCTCCCTGCCCAGCAGCTGAGATGTCATCCAAAAGACCCTGGGATTATTCTCATGGGAGGACAAACTGCTGTACCTGAGTGGGACGTACACCTACCGCAGTCACTCCTGTGAACGGAGCAGCTGTTGGCTTTCCCGTCTGCCACCAGAAGAACCTCAACTGTAGTGTCCCTGGCAGAGGGCATGAAACTAAGTGTGCAGAATTAAGGCACGGCCAGCTGTGAGTAGCCCTTTATGGGAATAATTCTGGTAGAACACAGACCTCCCCCAGACTGCACGAAGTTGGCTGCTTGTGTCCCTCCTGAGGGCCAGCGGGCATTTGGAACCATGCAGAAAGAGCAGGGATCCCTCAAGAAGCCCCAAAGTGCCACTTCCTCAGTTGCAGGCACCCCTACTAGGCCTGGAGGGGGAGAGCAGTGGGGGCTGGACAACAGTCCACCTCCCACTCTGGCCACCAGAAGGCACCAAGGACATAAATTGGATTCATGTCACCCCAGCCACAGAGCCCTTTAAATTCCTCTAATACAAGGGGTCAGCATGCCAGCAGGCTAATAGAGGGCTTGGAGGAGGATCTCGTGATCATTAGAACGATTAACCTTTGTCTGGAAACGGGCGGTTTGTTTTCACAAAGCAGCTTGTTTAGAAGGTCGGGGTTACTGAGCAGGAGGCTCAGAAGTCACGAGACTCTTCCTGCTTCCCCCAGCTGGCTTTGTTTACTTCTGCGTCCAGGGTTAAGCCCCCAGGAATTAGGACCCTCCCAGCTGAGAATCAGTGTCTCTGGTCATTGATTCATACTTCCTCTGCCTTTGTCCTCCCACAGGTGAGGACGAGGGTGGCCAGGCCACAAGACCCACTGTGGCCCCACCGTTGGTACCTGCCAGCACCAGGGACTCCAAGGGGCAGCCCTCCCACTCCCAGAAGACATCATTCTCCTGAATGGAAGGCTTGCTGGGAGTTGGAATTTGGAGCTGTAGGGCCTATTTGTCCTGGGCTGTCCACTCTGCTCTCTCACCCGCCCCTTGGGAGGCCAGGATCGAGGAGCCGCATTCCTGAGTGTGTTTGTTTACAGCCACATTGTCAGGAGAGCCAGTCAGCACCAACTGTGGGTCTTTGAGGAATAACCCAGAGATAAGCTGGGCCGGGAGCGGTTTGATTTTGCCCCTGAGTTATGATAGCAGCTGTGTCTGAGGGTCCCGCGAATGGAAGGTGGGGGAGCAGACAGAGTGGCCAGGGTCCGCCCCCACCCCATGCATCCAGGCCACCCACCCTGATGCCCCACCTTGCTTAGTGTCCTCAGAGCATGTGACCAGGAGGTCTCAGGGGCTGGGGATAGGGGGCCCGAAGGTCTTTGCTCGGGACCCCAGGATTTTATCTCCCATAGAATCCCCTCTGCCATTTTTTTTCCAGTAGATTTTATTTTTTAGAGCAAAAATGTGCAGAAAATACAGAGTTTCACATACCCCCTCACCCCCATCATGCACTGTCTGCTGTTACTGACATCTTGCTTTGGTGTGGTACATTCGTCACAATGGATAAACCAATATTGAGATATTATTATTAGCTAGAGTCGGTAGTTTACATCAGCCTTCACTCTGTGTTGTACAGTCCTAGCGGTTTTCACAAATCCATAATACCATGTGTCCATCATTACAGTATCACGCGGTTGTTGTTATAGGGTGGCATCAAGTCGATTCCGACTCATAGTGACCCCATGTAACAGAGTAGAACTGCCCATGGGGTTTCCTAGGCTGTCATCTTTACGGAAGCAGATCGCCAGGTCTTTCTCCCATGGAGCCGCTGGGTGGGTTCGAACCGCCAACCTTTTGGTTAGCAGCTAAGTGCTTAAATGTGGTGCCACCAGGGCTCCTTCACAGTATCATACAGAATAGTTTCACTGCCCTAAAAATGCTCTGTGTTTCACCTATTCATCCCTTGCCCTGCCTCTTTTTTGGCACAGCTGAAACAAGAGGACAAGGACAGCCTCTTTCCATTAGGCAAAGTGTAGTAAGATGGTTCTTCTCTGATAACTAATAATAGAGTACTGACTTATGTGCAAATTTAGATTTTAGAACTTCTGAGATTATAAAAGCAACATATTTTGGTATGTATTTGCAAAGTACAGAAAAAAACAGTACAAAAGGATGTGTAAAAAGCATTTATGAGTT